CATTCTGTTTTAAAAGGCCATATATGAACAAAGCATAATTCCTTAAAACAGTAATTCCTTAGGAAAATTTGGATGGGCGTAAGAATCTCTAGCTAGGAGAAAAATGAGATATGAAACTGCAATAATTATTTGAAGCTTAAAGCATGTAATAATTTAGAATTACCAATGCTCTTTCCTCTAGTAATTTAGAGTTGGAAAGTTATTAAGAGATATCCTGGTTCCCTGCCTGGGCTGGATTTCCAAACAGTATTTGAGGTGAACATGCTTGTTACAGTCCTCAGTGGACTTCTCAGGTCACCTGAGGTTTTGTAACTGCCAGTACAACCTTTATTTTCTTCCAGATATGTCATGAGAAGTGTTTGTAGTAAATGTTTCTTTTTGTAAATTGATTTTTATTACCTTCAGAATATTTTCTTTTAAATGCCACAGGGATGTTTTAGAATATACATAGTTTGATATCAGAAAGAAATTTGGGAAGACTCATTATTAATTAATTAGTTACTGAATATGGTCTAGTTGCTCAGTCATGTCTGACTCTTGTGATCCCATGGACTGTAGCCTGCCATGCTCCTCTGTCCATGGGATTTCCCAGGCCAGAATACTGGAGTAGATTGCCATTCCCTTCTCCAGGGGATCTTCCCGACCCAGGAATTGAACCCAGGTCTCCTGCATTGCAGGCAGATTCTTTACCGACTGAGCTATGAGGGAAGCCGTTTACTGAATATAGCTTTAACTAATAGAATGGGTATAAGCAAATTTCCCATTTTATTAAAAGTAAAGCTGCGGTGTTTCATATTGCAAGTGAGACCAGAGAGATGTAAAATTTGAGCCACTTTATTTGAATAGATACATGATTTTGTCCAGCTAGTTCTTCAATGGGAAAAGCATAAGTGATGAGAGCTGGTCAGGGGCCTCCTTCAGCATTGCTTCTCTTTTGACAGAACCAGACTTACTCACTGTTTGTGCACACATGAGTTTTGTTTACTTCTAAACATTTAAAGAGCATTCTGCTCATTACTTTTAGTGTCATTCAGGTTTTTGTTGCATGCCTCTTTTCTTGATCCCATTGATCTCTATAGTCATAGTTGTGATTATTTGATTAAGGTTTTCCTTCTGCCATTGGACTGTACACTCTGTGGGAGCAAAGCCTAGACATGTTTTTGCTTATTTGTATCTTGAATAGTTATCACAATTCCCAGAACAAAGAAGGTGCTTGGTAAATATTCACTGAGTGACTAAGGGTTTTCTTTGTCTTTGTCTTTACATGTATCTGGCATAACAATTGATGTGTAAGTTGTGTTCAGTAAAGGTTTACTGAGACAAATTGAAAAAAAAAATTTGTTTAATGTACAGAGACAAAACATAGCTCAAACAAAACCTTGTGCACACCAGGATGCAGAGACCTCACAGAGCCTGAGCCAGACCTGCTTTTGAGTGTTTGAGTGTCTCTTGCAGATGCATGGGTCATCTGTAGCCTGCCACAGGGACAGGGTCTCTGACTGCAGCAGACTTGGGTCATGCAGCCTGTGGCATAAGCTGTCTTGGAGGAGGTCACTATTATCCCAATCATAGAGCCACCAAGCAGATGGCCCGTGGACTGTAGAACAATTACACCAAAGAAATTCTCAGACTGTTAAGAAAGTTCTAGGACCTACAACAGATTTTCCCAACCTGGGGATCTGGCAAAGAGACTGAGAACCCCCAGTGAATTTGACTTTGGAGGCCAGTGGGATTTGATTCAGAACTTCCACAGGCCTGGGGAAACAGACTCTTGGAAGGCACAAAGAAAACCTTTTGTGTACCAGCAGCCAGGAGAAAGGAGCAGTGTCCCCACTAGAGACTGAGCCAGACTTGCCTGTGAGTGCCCAGGAGTCTCTAGTGGAGGTGGGGGTCGACAGTGGCCTGCTGCAGGGTCAGGAGCACTGAATACAACAGTTTCTGCACAAATCCTTCGAAGGAGGTTGCCATTATCTTCATTGCCCTTACCATAGTTTGGCCCAAGCCAAACAACCAGGAGGGAACACAGTCCATCAAAAGAAAATTGGATTAAAGGTTTATTGAGCATGGCACTGCCCATCAGAACATGACCCAGTTTCCCCCACAGTCAGTCCCTCTCATCGGGAAGCTTCCATGAGCCTCTTATCTTTATCCACCAGAAGACAGACAGAACAAAAACCACAATCACAGAAAACTAACCAAACTGATCACATGGACCACAGCCTTGTCAACTCAATGAAACTATGAGTCATGCCATGTAGGGCCACCCAGTATGGACGGGTCATGGTGGAGAGTTCTGACAAAACATGGTCCACTGGAGAAGGGAATGGCAAACCACTTCAGTATTCTTGCCTTGAGAATAGTATGAAAAGGNGCAGGTCAAGAAGCAACAATGAGAACTCGACATGGAACAACAGACTGGTTCCAAATTGGGAAAGGAGTATGTTAAGGCTGTATATTGTCATCCTGCTTCTTTAACTTCTATGCAGAGTACGTTGTGCAAACTGCTGGGCTTGATGAAGCACAAACTGGAAACAAGATTGCCAGTAGAAATATCAATAACCTCAGATATACAAATGACACCGCCCTTATGGCAGAAACCAAAGAGAAACTATAGTGCCTCTTGACAAAAGTGAAAGAGAAGAGTGAAAAAGCTGGCTTAAAACTTAACATTCAAAAAATGAAGATCATGGCATCTGATCCCTTCACTTCATGGCAAGTAGATGGGGAAACTATGGAAACAGTGACAGAATTTATTTTCTTGGGCTCCAAAATCACTGCAGATGGTGACTGCAGCCATGAAATTAAAAGACGCTTTTTCCTTGGAAGAAAAGCTATGACCAACCTAGACAGCATATTAAAAAGCAGAGACACATACATGTAACTCCATGGCTGATTCATGTCAATGTATGACAAAACCCACTGAAATGTTGTGAAGTAATAATAATAAAAAAAAAAAAGCAGAGACATTACTTTGCTGACAAAGGTCCGTCTAGTCAAGGCTGTGGTTTTTGCAGTAGTCATGAATGGATGTGAGAATTGGACCATAAAGAAAGCTGAGTGCCAGGAATTGATACTTTTGAACTGTGGTGTTGGAGAAGACTCTTGAGAGCCCCTTGGACTGCAAGGATATCCAACCAGTCAATCCTGAAAGAAATTAGTCCTGAATATTCATTGGAAGGACTGATTTTGAAGCTGAAACTGCAATACTTTGGTCACCTGATGTGAAGAACTGACTCATTGGATGCTGGGAAAGATTGAAGGCAGGAGGAGAAGGGACAACAGAGGGTGAGATGGTTGAATGGCATCACTGACTCAATGGACATGAGTTTGAGCAAGCTGCAGAAGTTGGTGATGGACAGGGCAGTCTGGAATGCTGCAGTCCATGTGATCACGAAGAGTCAGACACAACTGAGCAACTGAACTGAACTGAGCTGAATGGTACATGGAATTTCTTGACTGTACTTGCAAAGTTTATGAATGTGCAAAGATTATACATGATTTTATTATGTCATATTCATTGTTATTTTTAAATATATGGCTGATTTAATAATATGTATAATTTATTGAATAATTTAATATAGTGATCTAAGATAACTTCAGAACAGTTCAGTTAGGAGTTTATATCCCCATTTTATATATGAGGTAACTGATAATCAGAAAGATTAAGTCACTTATCTAAGAACACAACATTAGTAAGTGGAGAATTTAGTTGTTTAACTAGGTTGTGTGTCTTTACAACTTATCCTTTCAGCCACCATACAGTCCTTAGTATCATATAAGCTGGAAAACTCCAGTTTAACACATCAAAGATAAGCAAGTTTTATGTCAGTGACTGGAAAGCATTAGGTAAATAAAGATGGTTAAAATTTTATTTTAAAAAATAGTAAATGTGATTCAGTAATGGGAGGGATTTTACTTATGTGGTTGTAATAACAAGATCAAGGCTTCTTGCCCTTACAGCCTGAGTTAGATGCTTGGGTTAGTCTGAGTTTGGCTTATAACTTTTCTGTTTCTGCTTCTTGTAGGTTTGAGTGGCCGCTTCTTTGTTACCACCCTCCCAGCATTTTTCCAGTAAGTTCAAATAATTTTCTGGTCTTGTAATGATTAGAAATTAGTAGGTGTGTGTGTAAAAAGTGTGTCCCAGGATTGTTTAGTTCTTGTCCATAACCTTCATTTGTTCAGCTTAGCATGTGCAGGGAGAAAGACTGGTCTCCACTGAATGATAGTGATCAGAAGAGAGGGGCGCCCAGGTGCTACCGAGAGTCTAATTTCAGGCAGCAGATAGGTGAGGAGGCCGAAGAGGGTTTTTCTGATGATATGAATGGTGGGATGATTCTTAATAGGTAACAGGAGTATGTGAAGCAAGTAAGGTAGACAAGATCTTTCCAAATAGAGGATGTATCATGGAAAAGCCTAGGAGAAAAGGAGATGCCTTCTGAGAACTAGTTCTCTGTGGCTGGCCTGAGAGGTACAGTTGGATCATCCCAGGTGATGGTGCTAGAGAGGTTCAGGTAGTGAGGGGGAAGGAGATAGGCAGGGATGGTTTCCAGAGATGCTGAGGAGGTGGGATCATTGGTGACTGATTAGCCATAAGAAAGGGAGAGCCTCTGGTGACTTACTGACAGGCCTGTTTAACTAGCAAAGCTATTGAGAAGTTGTTAGAATAAAGTGCAGTTTGGAAGATAGAGACCAGAATGGAAAAGATAGTGTGAAGGGTTTATGCTAATTCCAAATGAGAAGTTTAGGTGATAGTTTAATTTCAGGATCATAAGAAAGGTGTAGACTGGAGGTACATACCAGGGATTAGATCACAGTTGAAATATATACAATGAGAGAATAGACGCGGTGGGAAAAGGAGCACGCTAAGGATCAGTGACCCCTGCTAGGACATCTGCGAAGGAGCACAGGGCGCATGGAACTGAGAAGGACTGGAGACCTCATGTCAGGATAGCCCAGGGAAAGGAGGGAGGGAGGGCCAGTGTCCAGGACACACAAGGGAAATGGCGGAAGAGCGCTCCGGGGACACCGCACTGAAGAGCCATCCCAGTAAGAGCGGCTTCCGTGCGGTCGCGGGAACAGGAGCCCCGCTGGCAGGAGCAGTGAATGAGTTAATAGGAGGGAAAAGGGTCGGCTCCTCCCTTAGGAAACTTAGCTAGACAGGAGGTGAGAGGGAGGGAAGACCGAAGGCATTTGTTGTTTAGTCTTGAGAGAATAGACGCGGTGGGAAAAGGAGCACGCTAAGGATCAGTGACCCCTGTTAGGACATCTGCGAAGGAGCACAGGGCGCATGGAACTGAGAAGGACTGGAGACCTCATGTCAGGCTAGCCCAGGGGAAGGAGGGAGGGAGGGCCAGTGTCCAGGACACACACAGGGGAAATGGCGGAGAGCGCTCCGGGGACACCGCACTGAAGAGCCATCCCAGTATGAGCCGCTTCCGTGCGGTCGTGGGAACAGGAGCCCCGCTGGCAGGAGAGTGAATGAGTTAATAGGAGGGAAAAGGGTTGGCTCCTCCCTTAGGAAACTTAGCTAGACCGAAGGTGAGAGGGAGGGAAGACCGAAGGCATTTGTTGTTTAGTCGCTAAGTCGTGTCCGACTCCTTTGCAACCCCATGGACTATAGCCTGCCAGCCTCCTCTGTCCATGGAATTCTCCAGGCAAGAACACTAGGGTGGGTTGCCATTTCCTTCTCCAGGGGATCTTCCCAGCCCAGGGATCAAATCCAGGTCTCCTGCCTTGGCAGGCGTATTCTTTACCACTGAGCCACCAGGGAGACCCAGTTTTCAGGAGAGGGACTTGGATGATATCAATTTGGAAATGTGGATAGAGTTTTTTAAAACTTGATAATAACTGCAGTTTTGCTGATGTAAGAGAAAAATTGAAATAATTTGTAGCAAAAATAATAAAAAGTAACTTGACAGATTAGCCACTGCCAAGGACTTTGCTTACAGTCACAAATTGTGCAGTGATAAAATAGAATGTTTAATTTTCTCTCCTTTGAAATTTCTCATTTATAATAAGTATTTGTGTATGCTTTCTTATTTATGCCTAACTATAATATTTCTTTTTGTTTTTCATTTTGAGTGAAGTTAAAATTCAGAGTGGAGTTCACATGTAAAACCAGTACTTATTTTCATTTTTATTATCTGTAACACTTGTTATTTTAATTGGTTTATTTTTTGTTTTTATAATTTATAGTGCAAAAGATGGGATATTCCGCCGTTACCGTGGCCCAGGAGTCTACGAAGACCTGCAGAACTATATCTTAGAGAAGAAGTGGCAGTCTGTTGAGCCTCTGACTGGCTGGAAATCCCCAGCTTCTCTAACGTAACTTGTTTTTTTAATGACAGTGTTACTAATAGAACAGATAGTCTCAACTTAACAACCCATAGACCTTGAAAGTCTACATTTCTTTTCATATTCACTTCTGATTTCCCAGATGACACGTGCCCCTGTTTGGCCCATGTTGTATTTCTGGTTTTGTGACCCTATGTGTTTCAGCTGGTTGTTAGGATGCTAGGGTTTAGTATCCAGATTCAGGGGGGCTACAGAGAGCTCTCCTCCAACTTTAGCACCGTCACCTCTTTTCTCTTTACTAAATATGGTATTGAACACCATTTACCATACCTCCTTCCTTATAAATTATTGAGAAGGTAGAGGAGAACCTTTTTCTTGAATTTAGAGTTCATAAAGGAATTGCTAAAGTATCTGTCTGTGTGGAGAGTAAGACCTATGGTGTCTTTGGCTGCTTAACAGAATACTGCTGGGGTAACCTTTGGCCATGATGGTAAATTGTATAATGCTTGGTGAGGCAGATAAGGTCAAGCAATAATACCTTGTTCATAGTTTTCATTTGGAATGAACTGTGGTATTTGTAATTGATTTTATGTTGATATATATAAGCATAAGGAATATCCCTGCTGAAATAGGATCAAATCATGTTACATTCTAGGAATAAGTGATCTGATAGTGTCTATAGGAAATACATGGTTTATTCTAAAAGCAGCTCACCTCTGATGTTTCATTCTACAAATTTTCATTCTTTAAAATCAGTGAGCATTGATTTTATGCAGATACTATTCTCGGTGCTAGATGTTCAGCAGTCAACATGATAAATGTGACCCCTGTGGTCTCCTAGGGTGACTTAGTAAGACAGATGATGAAAAAATTAGGGATGTAAAGAATCACAAAACAAAACAGAAAACAAACCCTTACTAAGTCAGGGCTTGACTGGGAGTGCGGGCCTCTGTTAGATGGGTACTAGGAGAGCTGGCTCTGAGGGGTCACTGCAGATGGGGTCTGCAGGACCGCAGGGCCTGGCTGGGCGAGGAACAGGTGAGGACTGTTACAGGAACGGAGGTAGCATTCGCACACGCCCCACACTGGAAAGAGCTTAGTGTATTGAGGAAGAGTCAGGTGGCCAGGGTTAGGCACAGCGAAAGAGAAGGGGGAGCAGTGTAAACAGAGGGCAGGAGGCAGACGGTCAGGCCTGTGGCTGGTGAGGAGCCGGGGTGTGAGCAGTGCAGGCCGTGACCAGAGGCTCAAGGGCACTGTGTGGACCAGCCTCGCCCAGGGATGGTGGTATGGACCAGCCTGATGGCAGTGGGGATGCAGAGCATAGGTGGACTTAAAATACGTTTAAACCTCAGCATGCTGGAAGCCAGGTTGTGCCGATGGCAGGGCCCCTGCCTCTCTGTGTCCCACCCTTGGCTCCCCTGCGGGGTCATTGTGAGACCAGCTCACCTAAACTTTGAGGGAAATTTTGAGTTACTGTATTTTGCAGAACTTGCTGAAAAGCAGCCATGGTGGCACAAGGTGTTTGGACAGGAATCTGGGTCTTCAGCCAAAAAGTGTAGCATGGCAACCCAGCTGTTACTTGGAGGTGTCACTGGATGATGTACAGGTTTCATACTGCAGAAGGTTGGAAAGTGAGCTGGAAAAGGGACTGATCCACAGGATTTTTGAGACTTTATGAATTCTGAGGATGCAAAGAACTTAGAATTAATTCTTAAACTTGCAGGTGATCCCTTGCAAAATGTATGTTTTTAAGGCACTCCTTTTAAAATGTTTGCTTTTTAACTTATCTTGGGAGTGATGTATTGAATTTGGAAATTGTAGCTACTAGTGGATGTGTGGAAATTTTAGAAATTCATCCATTTGCATTTTTTCCTTATTACAGTAGTATTTTAAGGCAGCATGTTATTTTGCTTGTGATACGTATAAATCATATGAAAATCATAATGGTATGAGCCACTTTGTTCCGAATTTTTGTACAAGAACTCAAATTTTTTTCACTTTTTATTACAGAAACTTTCCAAATATACATAAAAATACAGAAAATAGTACAGTAAACCCCCATGTACGTATCACACACCTATAATGACCATCAAATTATAGCTTGTTTTATCAATTGTTTTGAAACAAATACCAAGTGTGTCATTTTATTATATTTTGGTATGTGTCTATAAAATGTAAGAACTCTTTTAAAAATTGTAAATATAATACCCTATTATTATGCAGTCTGACCCTACCCACGCCAATGGAATGAGGGCGCAAAACCTAGCTGAAGCCCCTGTGCCCCTCTGGGTTGCAGGCGGAAGGGCGTGGCCTCTCTTGCAGTGGGCGTGGCCTCGTGTAGTGGGCGTGGCTTTTCTCCATCAGTTCTTCCTGTGATTGTTGGTGATGACAACAAAGATTAGAGGTTGCTTTAAGCTGCTTTGAGTGGGTTATAATAGACATTAATACTAGACTGAAATAGGATTCTAGCTTCTTCCTCAGGGACATGGTTGAGGGCAGTAATGCAGGTTGGCCTCATGCTATTGCAGTGAGAGCAGCTTTGCGTTCTGCCCGCTGAGCAGGGCCACCACTGGTGGCTGTGCAGGGTGGGTGCTGAGTCTAACAGTGGCAGTCTTCTGTTACACAGCACTGGTGGCACTTAGGAGAGCTCCCTCAGGCATTAGGGGAGCCTCTTAATGGAGGCCCTGTTGCAACTTTGCTTCAGGTGGTGAAATGAGATTCCCCACAGAACAATTGCTGCCCTTCCTGCAAAACTGAGACACCAGGAGCAAGCCCCGCACCTGTGTGTGTCATTCTCTGATGGAAAGGCACACATTTAGCAAGGAAGCTGGGCATTTCTTTTTCCAGTGCCGAGAATCCAGTAATATACTGGGCCTCCTGCTTAGTCATGGAGGCTGAAGAGACAGCGACTTTTCTTGGATGGAGGGATTAAGTGTTTTTAGTCCTCACTCTGACTGTGTTCAGGGGTCAGCTTCCCTTGCTCAGGGCTTGGTACCTGTGGTTTGGCCTGGAGACCTCTGACAGCTGCTTGTCAGAGCACCTGTGAGGCTCTTCTGCATTTTCACTCCGCACCCGGGGCCTTCCTCTGCTGCTCCAGGGCCCTCCCAGCATCCCTGCCGCTCCGAACCCTTGGATCCAGTGTCTGCCCACCACCCCTCTTCGTGGTGGCGCCACTAAGGTGGGGCGCTGTGAGCACAGAAGCGGAGAGGGATCCAGGGCACTCTCACTTTCCAGCTGCTGTGCCTCAGGCCCACAGATAGACTCTGGGTTTTTAATCTCGCTGAGGCTGAAACAGTTCACACTTGAGCAGCCCCACTGTCATTATTATAACAAACTAGACTTCCCTGCCCTTGCCCTTATCTGCTCCCACCTCTCGCCTCAGCCTCGCATCCCAGCCTCGGACGTTCATCAGTAAGTTGGGGGTGTGGAGTGTTGACTCTTGCACCTGACCTGCTGGCTGGGCGAGAGTCTGCCCTGCTGGACCTGCAGAACACAGGGCTAGTTAAAGGAGTGAATCTTACATAATTCTAGTTGACATACCCTTGTGGTGTGGTTTTGAAATGCCTAACTATTGTAAAGATATTTGTTTGACATTGGCCAGAAAGATGGGCATGACTAATGCTTGGGCTTTTATTTGAAACTTTTACATTTGTAGTTTGGAAAATGGAATAAATTTCCGGTTCAAAAAAAAAAATGGTATAGGGATATGTTTGAACTGAGTATCATTAGTGTTTCATGATGATGTCAGTTTTTTCTCTGAGGGAAATTTACTTAAGGCCAGTTTTAGACCCTGTTGGCCAAATTAGAGCCGTCTCTGCTCCCTCCACAAACTAATCAGCTTTATTTCTTAGTCATAGATTCCAGGTCTTGGGCCTTCTTCTTCACTTATACAATATTAGTATGATCGCTTTGAGAACTGGGCAGAAAATATACCCTATTGTGGACCTGATTTCCCAGAAATCATACAGTGTGGCTTACATCTGTGATGTCTGATTCTTCTTGAGGAGGCATGAGTATCAAGAGCACTAGTTTTCTAGTGAAAACTGACAGTGTTGCACTTTCTTCACATTTTCAGAAAACTGTAAAGTCAGCTTATTGACTCACCAAAACTCCACCTCTCTGAATTTGAAATGGTGTGCGTGTGTGCGCGTGCTAAGTCACTTCAGTCATGTCCCAGTCTTTGCAACCCTATGAACTGCAGCCCACCAGGCTCCTCTGTCTATGGGATTCTCCAGGGAGGAATACTGGAGTAGGTTGCTGTGCTTTCCTCCAGGGGAAAACCCAGGGATCAAACCCACGTCCCTTATGTCTCCTGCTTGGCAGGCAGGTTCTTTGTTACTAGCACCACCTGGGAAGCCTTTTGAAATGGTAAGAATTGCCGTTATGATGATTGAGAGCAGTGATTTGCATCCTCACTTGCCCAGGGGAATCACCTGTAGACTTTTGAAAACTACCCACACATGGTTACTGTCCCAGAGACTGCGCGGGTACTGGTCAAGCAGCCTCAGGTGTTTCTGTGAAAGTCACTCAGTCGTATCCAACACTTGGTGACCCCACGGGCTGTAGCCTGCCAGGTTCCTCCATCCCTGGAATTCTCTAGGCCAGAATACTGGAGCGGGTAAGCCGTTCCCTTCTCCAGGGGATCTTCTCAACCCAGGGATAGAACCCAGGTTTGCGTTGCAGGCAGATTCTTTACCATCTGAGCCACCAGGGAAGCCCCAGGTGTTTCTGAGAAGCAGCCAAAGTTGGGAACCACTGAACTACAGATTCAGAAGCGAAGTGAAATGAAAGTCTCTCAGTCGTGTCCAGCTCTTTGTGATTCCGTGGACTGTACAGGCCATGGAGTTTTCCAGGCCAGAATACTGGGGTGGGTGTCCTTTCCCTTCTCCAGGAACCAGTGAAGTTGTTCAGTCGGGTCTGACTGTTTGCAAGCCCATGGACTATAGCCTACTAGGCTCTTTCATCCATGGAATCCCCTTCTCCAGGGGATCTTCCCAAACCAGGGATCGAACCCAGGTCTCCTGTATTGCAGGCAGATTCTTTACCAGCTGAACAAGCTCCTACTAATAAAATTACAGTTTTACTGTTAACAAATGACTGCTGAACAGGCCTTTAAGGTTTTTAAAGTTAAGTGCCATACAACTTTAGATGCCTTCTGAATACTGAATATAAGTACAGTTGTAAGTTGAGTGTTATAGGAACTGTGTGGATTGGCTGCGTGAGAGTGACCTGATGCAGACCAGGGCCTTTGACGTTACGGATGTAAAGCTCTTAGGAGATTGTGGAGTGATGGGGTATCCACATGGTGCCAACATTTCAGCCCACAAATGACCTAGCCATTATCAGGGAAAAACCACCTTTCCAGTGGAGAGGTCTGTCTCATCACTAGTTAACCAAGTGACTTAACATCACTCGGAGCCCACTTAGAGCAGGCTTCTTAGTCTCTATATGGAGATGAGGTCATAGTCCTCATCTTCCCAGATCTTTCCTGAAGACTGAAATTCAGTACTAATCATGGCCCCAAATAAAAAACACTTAGTAACTGTTAGGCTTCTTTTATGGCTTTTATTTCCCTGTATATCATAATTATAGCTAAGAAGAAAAAGATTGAAATCAATGTCTGTTAATAAATGTTGAATTAAACTGAGACAGGACTGAATTTAAAGATAGGAAGGAGCAACTGTTTGAAGCTTTGGGAGCCCTAAAGAAAGGAGTATACCTAGGGAAAAAATTAAAGCATTCTGAAACTTGAGTAGTTAACTCAATAAAAATAATTTTGTAATAAAGTTCAAGAAAGCAGTCTCTTTGATCATGTATGTAGTGATTGCTAATGTGAATCAAACACCACTATCAGTTGATACTTTTAAATGAAATTTAGATTTGTATATGGTATAAATGTAGCTGTAAAATGTTTTAATAGTTTCACTATTTAAAAATGAAATAGGTTTTAAAGGTAGACTCTACTAAGGTGAAGGAGAGGTAAGATTCATACGCAATCAGACATATACTGCAAACATGCACACACACACACAACTCAACTCCTGGGTTTTTGGTTTGAGCACTTGATGGTCTTGGTACCAGTTACTGGTTTGAGCAAGAGAAAATCAAGGGTTCAGCACTGGACATATTAAGTTTGAGATGCAGACCTCTTTGTAGAGCTTCCAGGTTGGATGCGTGGGGATTGGTCCACACAAACGGCATATAGATGGTATTTTAAGTTTTAGAAGGAAGGGGGGTCACCTGGAGAGAGAAAAAGAAAAGTGCTTGGGACTGAGTCACAAGACACTCCAAAGTTAAGAAGCTGGGTAGAGAAGGAGTCAGCAGAAGGAAATTGAAAATGAGTGCCAGGGAGGCAGGAGGGCAGGCAGGGGTGTGTGATTTCCTAAAAGGCAAGTGGAAAGTGCATGAAGGAGAGAGTAGTCCCTTGTGTCTCATGTCTATGAGGGGTTGGGGGAGATGAAGTCTGAGACAAGGACACTGAATGAAGCAATGTGATGCCATTTTGGCCTTAACAGGGGGTCAAGGAGTGCAGCAGGGAGGACAGAAGCTGCATTTGGGTGGGTTAAATTAAGGCGAGGAGGAAGGAGCAGCAAGTGTGGTCTCCTCTTTGGAGTTTGGGAAGCTGAGTTGGGGGGCCTTCTGCGATCCAGTGATGTTCTTTTCAAAAGATGAGTGAGAGTAGAATGTGTTTTCATGCAGTGAAATGATCCATCAGAGAAGGAGAAATTGCTGATGCAGGAAATGGGATGATGGGAAAAACCAAGTCATTAGCAACAGGGAAGGGATGGGATCCAAGGCACAAGTGGAGAGTTTGGACTGTGGTTGGGGGGGTAGTTTCCTCCACTGGAACAGAAGAAGCTGGATGCGGGTGTACACCAGGCTAGATGTGCTGCTGGGATGGTGAGGGAGGCCGTCTGACAGCTGCTGGTTGCACAGTGACATGAGGGCAAGGGGTGGAGAGGGTGTGTACAGTTTGAAGGGAGAGAAAGGATATGAGCTCTCATCCAAGGTACGAACCTAGAGGATTGCAGCCGGACGGTGCCCTCTCAGTTGCCCACTGAGCTTGTGACTGTGAGGGCAGAGCGTGTGACTTTTCCCTAGAGATCTGCAGCTGCTCAGTGTTAGGGATGTTGCCAGGCATGCACCATGCAGCGAGAAAGCACCAGCGGACTTGACTGCATTTACTCCTGACTAATCCAGAACACGGCCCTGGGGTCTAAGCTCTGTCAGAAGGGAAGAGAATCCAGGAGAGAGGATGATGTACTGCACAGAGTGGAGGAGTAGTTCTTGTGACTTGAGGTTTTTGTTTGTTTGTTTTTATGCTGTCCATCACCAGTGGTTCTCCTTGCCTTTATTTTTTTTAGGATGTCTGGAATGGCTGGTCTTTTTAGCATCTCTGGCAAGATATGGGTGAGTAAATAAGGCCCTTTATGATTATATCAGCAGAGGGGTTTTTAAGAGTGAGAAGGTAGTTTCTAAATAATAGGAAAATGAATACTTATAAATGGTTTTATAATTTCACTTTTCTTCTTAAGCCACACTACTACTCTTACCTGGAGTCGTAGTGGGAATGTGTCTTTGTGTAGAAGGACTTAAATTGAACAGGGACCAAAAGACCAAAGTCATATTTCATAGATCAGTAGTGAATCCCTTTGTCAAAGCTGAAAGGGCTTCTGTGGTTTCACTTCCTCTTATTTCTCATTGTCATAACCTCCCTACAGATCGAAGATCTGTTAGGGATCAGCAGACTTCAGCTTGTGGGCAGGCTGGGTTGCCTGTCTTGTTTAATAATGTCTTGTTGGAACACAGTCACATTCACGTATTACCTATTTTCTGTGACTGCTTTGGTACTACAGTGATAGAGATGAGTTGTTGTGACAGAGGTCATATGGCCCACAAGCCAAAATATTCATGATGTAGCCCTTTAAGGAAAAATTTGCAAGCCCCTTTTATGTGGCTCAGACAATGTCATGTCTGACTCTTTGTGACCCCATGTACTGTAGTCCACCAGACTTTTCTTTCCATGGGATTCTTCCAGCAAGAATACTGGAGTGGGGTTCCATCACCTTCTCCAGAGGATCTTCCTGACCCAGGGATCAAACCCATGTCTCACGTCTCCTGCATTGGCAGGCAGGTTCTTTACCACTAGCGCCACCTGGGAAGCTGCTATGTGTGATTGTATCATTTCACTGAGTCTTAGTAACTTAGAACTGTTATTTAGGTTAAAATGCTGAACTTTTACATAATATTGAATGTGTCATGTAACCTTTCCTCATCTCTACATGTAGGGTGATCTAAATCCTGCCAGATTTGACAAAATTGCCAGGGAATTAAGTACATATTTTTAAAGTATTTCAAAAGATCTTTAGATGTGATTACCTTCCTGTATTTGTCTTTTCTAAGTTATGATTATACATCATTTGTCATATTTGGAACTTAATATTCAAGGAAATATTAATTAGACGTGGAAAAAAATACACAGAAGAACTATACAAAAAAGATCTTACTGACCCAGATAACCATGACAGTATGATCACTCACCTAGAGCCAGACATCTTGGATTGCAAAGTCAAGTGGACCTTAGGAAGCATCACTGCAAACAAAACTAGTAGAGGTGATGGAATTCCAGCTGAGCTATTTCAAATCCTAAATTCCATCACCAGTGGTTCTCCTTGCCTTTATTTTTTTTAGGATGTCTGGAATGGCTGGTCTTTTTAGCATCTCTGGCAAGATATGGGTGAGTAAATAAGGCCCTTTATGATTATATCAGCAGAGGGGTTTTTAAGAGTGAGAAGGTAGTTTCTAAATAATAGGAAAATGAATACTTATAAATGGTTTTATAATTTCACTTTTCTTCTTAAGCCACACTACTACTCTTACCTGGAGTCGTAGTGGGAATGTGTCTTTGTGTAGAAGGACTTAAATTGAACAGGGACCAAAAGACCAAAGTCATATTTCATAGATCAGTAGTGAATCCCTTTGTCAAAGCTGAAAGGGCTTCTGTGGTTTCACTTCCTCTTATTTCTCATTGTCATAACCTCCCTACAGATCGAAGATCTGTTAGGGATCAGCAGACTTCAGCTTGTGGGCAGGCTGGGTTGCCTGTCTTGTTTAATAATGTCTTGTTGGAACACAGTCACATTCACGTATTACCTATTTTCTGTGACTGCTTTCGTACTACAGTGATAGAGGTGAGTTGTTGTGACAGAGGTCATATGGCCCACAAGCCAAAATATTCATGATGTAGCCCTTTAAGGAAAAATTTGCAAGCCCCTTTTATGTGGCTCAGACAATGTCATGTCTGACTCTTTGTGACCCCATGTACTGTAGTCCACCAGACTTTTCTTTCCATGGGATTCTTCCAGCAAGAATACTGGAGTGGGGTTCCATCACCTTCTCCAGAGGATCTTCCTGACCCAGGGATCAAACCCATGTCTCACGTCTCCTGCATTGGCAGGCAGGTTCTTTACCACTAGCGCCACCTGGGAAGCTGCTATGTGTGATTGTATCATTTCACTGAGTCTTAGTAACTTAGAACTGTTATTTAGGTTAAAATGCTGAACTTTTACATAATATTGAATGTGTCATGTAACCTTTCCTCATCTCTACATGTAGGGTGATCTAAATCCTGCCAGATTTGACAAAATTGCCAGGGAATTAAGTACATATTTTTAAAGTATTTCAAAAGATCTTTAGATGTGATTACCTTCCTGTATTTGTCTTTTCTAAGTTATGATTATACATCATTTGTCATATTTGGAACTTAATATTCAAGGAAATATTAATTAGACGTGGAAAAAAATACACAGAAGAACTATACAAAAAAGATCTTACTGACCCAGATAACCATGACAGTATGATCACTCACCTAGAGCCAGACATCTTGGATTGCAAAGTCAAGTGGACCTTAGGAAGCATCACTGCAAACAAAACTAGTAGAGGTGATGGAATTCCAGCTGAGCTATTTCAAATCCTAAAAGATGATGCTGTGAAAGTGCTGCACTCAATATGCTGGCAAATTTGGAAAACTCAGCGGTGGCCACAAGACTGGAAAAGGGCAGTTTTCATTCCAATCCCAAAGAAAGGCAATGCCAAAGAATGTTCAAACTATTGCACAATTGCACTCATTTCACATGCTAGCAAAGTAATGCTCAAAATTCTCCAAGCCAGGCTTCAACAGTACATGAACCGAGAATTTCCAGATGTTCAAGCTGGATTTAGAAAAGACAGAAGAACCAGAGATCAAATTGCCAACATCCGTTGTGTCATAGAAGAAGCGAGGGAGTTCTAGAAAAACATTTACTTCTGCTTCACTGACTACTCTAAAGCCTTGAACTGTGTGATCACAGCAAACCGGGGAAAATTCTTAAAGAGATGGGAATACCAAATCACCTTACCTGCCTCCTAAGAAATCTGTATGTAAGTCAAGAGGCAACAGTTAAATCCAGACATGGAACAACAGAGTGGTTCCAAATTGGGAAAGGAGTACATCAAGGCTGTATATGGTCACCATGCTTCTTTAATTTATATGCAGAGTACATCATGTAAAATGCTGGGCTGGATGAACACAAGCTAGAATCAAGATTGCTGGGATAAATATCAATTACCTCAAGATACGCAGATGATGCCACCCTTTTAGCAGAAAGCAAAGAGGAACTAAAGAGCCTCTTGATGAAGGAGAAAGAGGAGAGTGAAAAAACTGGTTTAAAACTTAACATTAAAAAAATGAAGATCATGGCATCTGGTCCCATCACTTCATGGCAAATAGACAGGGAAACTATTGAAACAAGTACAAAATCACTGCAGATGGTGACTGCAGGCACGAAATTAAAAGATGCTTGCTCCTTGAAAGAAAAGCTGTGACCAACCTAGACAGCATATTAAAAAGGAGAGACATTACTTTGCCAACAAAGATCTGTCTAGTCAAAGCTATGGTTTTTCCATACAAAGTCATGTATAGATGTGAGAGTTGGACTATAAAGAAAGCTGAGTGCTCAGGAATTGATGCTTTTGAGCTGTGGTGTTGGAGAAGACTCTTGAGAGTCCCTTGGACTGCAAGGAGATCCAAACAGTCCGTCCTAAAGGAGATCAGTCCTGAATGTTCATTAGAAGAACTCATGCTGAAGGTGAATATCCAATACTTTGGCCACCTGATGTGAAGGGCTGATTCATTGGAAAAGACCCAGATGCTGGGAAGGTTTGAAAGCATGAGGAGAAGGGGATGCCAGAGGATGAGGTGGTTGGACGGCGTCACAAACTCAATGAACATGAGTTTGAGCAAGCTCCAGAACTTGGTTAAAGACACAGAAGCCTGGTGTGCTACAGTCCATGGGGTCGCAGAGAGTCGGGCATGACTGAATGACTGAACAACAACAGTTCATGGAGCTCATGAGAACTCTGCTTTTTGTTCATATTGGTATATGCTTGGAGAAATTTGAAAAGAACTTTTGCCTCTCAGTTTTTCAGTTGTATTATATTTTTTGCTTTTTGAGATATACCTACTTTAGGTTTTTTTTTTTTCTTTTGGCACCGGAAATTAATTTGTTGCTTTGACTTTATTTTTTTTTTTTTAATTTTTTTTATTTTTTTTTTTTTTACATTTGTATATCATATTAAAAGATAACTAGCATTTTTCCTCTTTTCATATACTTTGAGTTTCATTTGGTTTTCTTCTGATATTTTCTTTTATTGGTGAGCAGTTTATTCAAAGGTTCAGAATTTTGAATTGCAAACCAGGAACTAAGAGTAAGGATTCAGCCTGTTGCAATATTTGACACTAAATATATTTAGGAGTCATATATTTTGATAGTTATCTGAAAACCTGATAGCCATATATTGTCTAAACCAACAGGATAGTTGTAATAGGTGTCAGGAATCTTCAAAAGCTTAGTACAGGATCTGTTACAGCTGCAGGTCAGGACAGAATTTGTTCTGAGGGTTAAGAAGAGATTGTGAAAGTTGCTCAGTCATGTCTGACTCTGTGACCTCATAGACTATACAGTCTGTGGAATTCTTCAGACCAGAATACTGGAGTGGGTAGCCTTTCCCTTCTCCAGGGGATCTTCCCAACCAAGGGATCGAACCCAGGTCTCCAGCATTGCAGGCGGATTCTTTACCAGATGAGCAACATGGGAAACCCAAGAATACTGGAACCTCTTCTCCAGTGGATCTTCCCGACCCAGGAATCAAACTGAGGTCTCCTGCATTGCAGGAGGATTCTTTACCAACTGAGCTATCAGGGGAGCCTTAAAAAGAGATTAGATGGAAATTAATTGTGACCCTCATACATTGTTATAAAGTAGTTTTCTTTTCAAAGACAGTACAGGGAAAATAAATAATTTTTCAAACCTCTTATAGCTTGACTAATAACAAGGAGTTGCCATTTTTCATTATGTCATGCAAATGATTTCAGTGTGTGGCATTTGGAGCACATCAAGACCAGGAGTTGCTGTTTTATCTCTGTAGGCACAGGGCACAGCCTTGTTTAGCATGGATGGATTCTGTGTGAATGCATTGGACTGCAGAGAAAAGGCCATTTGAAGAACAGAACATGATCCATCTCTGAAAAACCAATTAATATGTTCTTATTAGTGATTGAGAAGTACAGTGTGTGTGTGTGTATATATATATATATATATTTGGACTTTCCAGACTTTCTTTAAAAGAACTAAAAGTTTAATTTTATAAGAAATTGTATAAAATTTTATAAGAAATTGTAAAATTTGACACATAGCAATTGCATTTGCATTCTATAAGGTCATTTTGTCTAATATTAATACTGTAATTTTTTCTTTCTGGTTAGCACCTACTTGGAATTATTTTTTTCAACTTTCAACTTTTTTGTTATGTTTTGAGCGAATTTTATAAAATACTCCATCTCTGAACCTTGGACACCTTATCCTGGCTCCATTCCTCAAATCCATCTGACCACTGGTTATAATGTCCCCCTTTTTTTCTGCTGTAAACAGTGTCTTCATCTAGTCCTCTCATTCTAATCTGTTTATAGCTAAAAATTAGCTCTAATTCAGTCACCTAGTACAAAAATATAATATTATAAGGTATTGGGCCCAGCAGGTGACATTTGCATGCATTTTAAGGAAATAATATGATGCTTCCTTGTAATGAGCATATATATTTTTGACTTTGGTTCGTTTTTTTCCCCAGTGAAAAGTTACTTTGCCTGGCAAAGAAACAAACACAGAAATCTAAAATCGGGTTTAATCAGTTATTACTTGGAAACATATTTACAGGAAACTTCATGTGCCTAGTACAGGAACCCTAATAGTCTTAAAGGTACTCTGAAACCATTGTGGACTCAGACAAAGTAAACGATAAAGATTTGTGGCTGCAGTTTTGAAAACACAACTTGATTAATGAGGCTTTAGTAATTTTTTAGTAATCACCTAGAAAGACCACAAGATGGCAGAGTTCTCTAAGAAGCTCAAGCAAATCCCTTAAAGAGTATGCCAGTACAAGAAAATTGAAGTGGAACCTGTAAGAGGATGTTTTTGAATGCACTGAGAATATGACTCAATGCAGTGATTCAAAGGCACATCATTTACTGAATCCTAGAAAATAACTGAGAAAATTTCTTAAGCATTTCTTAAATCATGTGTTTTGCAAAAGGGCTTAAGACACTGTCCAGATGGACTTATAACTGGATGTGTTATTCATTCCAACTATATGGGCAGGTACTAATAAAACAAGTTACAGAATTCATATGTCCATGGGTCAGCACAGATGCACCCTGGCTTTCATGTCTTCTAATTCCTTGGCTCATTTCAGAGTTTAATTTTAATGATGACATTGAATAATCAAGATAAGCATAAATAAGCTATGTTCAATATGCCAAATTTCCTATAGAACTGTACAATGCATCTTAAAACTTCCACTGAACAGAGTTTGAGCAAAACAACCTTTTATACCCTAAATACCTCTTTTGCCTACTTGGGCTGGAGAGTACTAGATTATTCTTAGATAGTTGTCCTGGTTGAAGATAGAGCACTGACCAGTGCCATCAACAGAAGACAGGTGACAGTTTTATAAGTCAGGAGTTGTGCGCATTCCTGTGAATAGTTTAAAGATTTGCTGGTGTATTTTATTTATTCAATAACTATTTATTGAATACTTTGATTACATGTGTCAGTATTTAAAAACTTGAGGAGTCTTTAGATGTGTATCTACTGCTGAGTGAACAGTCAGAGAGAAGAGATCTCAGACGGCTCTAGATCAGTTAGCAGTCTGTTTTGTTCATTCTAAGTTAAGCCAGGATCAGATACATTATCTAATTGTATTGACAGTTACAAACTGAGAAGCCAATGGGAGATACTTGAGTAACTTTGATTTTGAGAAATATTTAAATAGAATCTTGGGCTAGTTTTTGTTAACCTCATCAGTTCTGGGGAAGTCATTCAGTCATTATTTCTGTTGCAGGTGGCATTTAGTTTGCAGCCATTTCATCCTGTGCCCAGTAATTCTATAGATAACCTATCTATAGACATAAAAATATCATAAAACTATTGGCTTTTTAGTGAATTTTTTTGAAGCTAAAAGTGCCTAAAATAGATGATCACAAAGCCATCATGAGGCAACATAGCTCCTTCAAGTCCATGTCTAAATGGGCTTTGATTCCACACTAGCGGGTTCATATCTGTAATTCCTGTATGATTTTGCATGTGGTACTTCTGGCTCAGATTGTATCTCCTTACTCACTTTTACTGTTTGAGTGAAAAATAGAGTCCCAGGGATAGTAAACAAGAAGGGATGTGTACTTTCTTCAAAGACTGATGAAATCTTATTTGCTCATAATGAATTAACAGAAAAATGTCTTATATTATTACATGTAGGTTTTATGGTGATTAGGAAATTTGTAAAGGAGGGCTGGGTGTCAAGCAATAAGAATATGACTAGAAAAAGGAAGTATGGAAACATTTAAATGGTTGATATTCCATAAGCAGTAATTTAGTTCTACTTAAAAATTGATAAAGGCCCAATTTTTTAAAAAAAAACTTTAATTTTTTATGGATATCATATTATGAGTATTAAGGTATATAAGCTATTAGGGGATAGTGACCAAAAAAAAAACTCATGATGGAAGAAGGATAAACAATCCTACCAGAGTTCTGTTTGGTCATTAGCTTCAAGGAAGTATAACTCTTATTAGATACGACCTTGATTTTGACTCTCAGATTCTCAGTGTTATAAAATCTGATTTGCTCTTGAAAAATAATATAGATGCATAATCCCCTGGATGATCTTTGTGGGAGCTCATATAAATAGAATTGTAGACTTGAGTGAAGTGGTAAAGAGGGAGATTCAAACATTTTTAGTTCTCTTTATAAATATGTGTTTTTTTTTTAACTTTTTTCTTCTGATTACAGCATCTTCACAACTATTTCACAGTGACCCTTGGAGTTCCTGCTTGGTGTTCTTACTTCTTTTTTGTGATAGCCACCTTGATTTTTGGCCTTTTCATGGGTCTGGTAAGAGATAATGTGAATCTCTTTTCTTTCTTTAAAGCCAGTTGGTTTCATGCAAAACTAGAAAGCAGCCAAGAAAGAAAAAGCACATAAACAAACATCATTTTGTGTATAATTTAAGCAGCTAAATAACATTTGCTTGTATGATACTACTTTCAATGGAAATTTGAGATATAATGGAAAATTCATTAAGTTATTAACCGCCAATCCCCCCTCTTAAATATTCTGAAGATACGTGCCACCAAAAATATAGGCAGTGTTGAAGAGAGAAATAGAGACTTAATTTGATAAGTTAGTTTCCAAGACAACTGAGTCAGCTGTGAATTCATACATTGCTTACTTGATTAGAACACTGTTGTGATAAGGCCAAAGCTGTGAATTTGTTCCTTGGGTAAGCAAATTGATTTTTCCTGTTTGTATCCTCAAATTGAAAATCTAAATGTGACCAGCTTCTTATACATATACTCCAGTTTTCCCAAGGTAAATTTTGTAAGATAATGTGGATTAAAAAAAAAAAATCACAATCATTATTATGTGAAAAAATGAGATGCAAACC